TTAAAACTGGCGGAGCTTGGAATTTTGAGAATAACGGGATTGTGATTTCAAAAATGCATTTATATCAAGCCTAGGCAACGGTGGGCCAACCTAGACTGATATAAATAGATATAAATGAAGAAGATATAAATATGGAAATGTTTGTAGAAAAGAAGATATAAATGAAGAAGGTTGATTTTGAGAGAGGTGTGAAGATAATTTTGCCGAACCTGACTGACTATGGATGGAGGCGCAACAAAGAAAATAATGAAAGACACAGTCTGCTTACGGCATCTTGCATGCATTGTCATAATACCATGACAGTGCCGCAATACCATGACAGGACCAGAATACCATGACAGGACCAAAATACCATGACAGGACCAGAATACCATGACAGGACCAGAGACCAGAATACCATGACAGGACCAAAATACCATGACAGGACCAGAATACCATGACAGGACCAGAATACCATGACAGGACCAGAATACCATGACAGGACCAGAATACCATGACAGGCCTAGGCTGTGTAGGCTGACAATTCAATTTCCTTGCGCCTGGCAAAAGACAAGCGCTCGAGCGAGCCTAGCATGCGTAACGAGACGCCTGAATGTGATGCCTGCATACTCGAATGTGAGTCTTGCATAGTTGAATGTGATGTGGACATTTCAATGTGATACCTGAATACACGAATGTGATGTCTGAATATTCGAAAGTGATGCCTGAATATTCGAATGTGATGCATGGACATTTAAATGAGATGTGGAACGTTCCTCCTACATGGGCATGTCTATTACTTGAGCATTTGTCCGTTAAAAAAATTACTTGGGCTTCCTTCGTCACATGGGTAATTAAATGTAATTCCCAGTCTCGTGAATGCTATTAATGGACACTCAAATGTGATGCAAGGTTTCAATGGTATAAGATACCTGACTCCTTGGGCAATAGAAAATAATTCTTGGATCTCAACGTGTGTTATGCAGACACGTGTATTTTACACACGAGTACTTGTTGGTGATACCTGGGGGATGATATATATTACTTGCATTCAAGGTTCACTCATGTACCTAACGTGCTCATTAATTAAATATGATACTTAATGCGTTACCACTGTTTCAACTTCACTTATTTCGCTTCATGCCACTCAGTGGCTCAACTCGTTTATTCTTTTTATAAAAATTCAACCCATTCACTCAGCAATTACTCCACTCGGGCACTCCTTCACTTTCATGACCTTTCTAGCAATCCCCCCACTCCATAGCCACCACTCCACCATCACTCCACCACCACTCCACCACCACTCCACCACCATTCCACCACCACTCCACCACCACTCCACCACCACTCCACCACCACTCCACCACCACTCCACCACCACTCCACCACCACTCCACCACCACTCCACCACCACTCCTCCACCACTCCACCAACACACCACCACCACGCCACCACCACGCCACCACCACTCCACCACCACTCCACTACCACTCCTCCACCACTCCACCACCACTCCACCACCACTCCTCCACCACTCCACCACCACTCCACCACCACTCCACCACCACTCCACCACCACCTGTCTCTTATACACATCTAGATGTGTATAAGAGACAGCTGTGGTGACAGCCAGCAGCGTCATTATCTTTAAGATATTAGCGCTGCTGTGGTGACAGCGCTCGGCGTTGTCCTCTGCTGTCATTACCGCGTGTAGCTGATAAGCCTTATCGCCTACACGCGCTGGCCTGACACGCAGGTTGCATTACACGCGCTGGACTGACACGCTTCAATGTGTCACCAGAATCGCTTCGTTCAACAAGTTTTCGTCGCTATTGAGTTTCACTGGCAGATTATAAAGCCACGTTGCAACGTTGAAGTGCATTGCTGTGCGCAACGTAATATTCCCTCTTTAATTCCCGTGCACAACACTCTCCTCTCCTCAAAGTATCTCATCTTCCTGCCGTGTATATTCCTCCTTTTTGCACCTTTCTTCATTGTTTACTTTGCATTCGAAACTCTAATTTGTGTACAGTACTCATTTCTTTCGCTTTAATCGCTATACACCTCACATTTCCCCGCCTCTCCCCACGACCCAACAATTGGGACGAGAAGCGTCCCTGACGCCCGTTCCACCGTCCCTATCTCACCACGTCCCGAACACCCGTCCCAGCGTCCCTATCTCACCCTGCCCCAAAACCCATCCCACCTTCCCTATCTCACCCTGAATCACCTCTCAAGTCTCCTCTACACACAAGAACGCTGCGCTTGCGCCACGTTTCATCTAATGAAACGGCGCACAATTTTCGTGTTTGCCTTGCAGCGCCAGCAAGATTTACGCAAGGCGGATTGCGAATCATGATTCCGCTGGAATTTGTGTCGAGTTCAGAGACCATGACGGCCGTGCAAATCCTGTGTGAGTTCGCGAGTGCTAACGACCCACGTGTTTTTTTCCTTTTGTATGTTGGGACTGAACTGGGATTGTTGGTGAGGCCTTAATTGTTGCTACTGTTATTGACGGCATTAGCGCTAACGTTGTTGATGAGGCCTTGTTGTTGCTGTTATTGACGGCATTAGTGCTAACGTTGTTGATGAGGCCTTGTTGTTGCTGTTATTGATGGCATTAGTGGCCGAGCTTCCTCGTAGGGTTGCCATTGTTTGAAGATTCTGCCGTCTTGTGATGATTGTGCTCGTTTCTCTTGAAGCTTCCTCATAGGAGTTTCATTTCATTCTCATTTAGGAGAGAAAATTTATAGTTAGGTAAAAAATAATTCTGATCATGTTCTCGAATTCTGTGATGAAAATTGGATGACGTATCTTTATACGTAAGACCTCGTTCATACAATTATTCAATCAATTTATTTCAAAGTTCGAACGAATAAAATTTTCCTTTGACGTAAATTATTCATGACCGCATCGAACTCCCGGACTATCAAAGCATTCCGTTCAACTAACATTCCCAGCACTCCGTTCAACTAACATTCCCAGCATTCCGTTCAACTAACATTCCCAGCATTCCGTTCAACTAACATTCCCAGCACTCCGTTCAACTAACATTCCCAGCACTCCGTTCAACTAACATTCCCAGCATTCCGTTCAACTAACATTCCCAGCATTCCGTTCAACTAACATTCCCGGCATTCCGTTCAACTAACATTCCCGGCATTCCGTTCAACTAACATTCCCAGCATTCCGTTCAACTAACATTCCCGGCATTCCGTTCAACTAACATTCCCGGCATTCCGTTCAACTAACATTCCCGGCATTCCGTTCAACCAACATTCCCGGAATTCCGTTCAACTAACATTCCCAGCATCCGTTCTTCTAACATTCCCGGCATTCCTTTCAATTAACATTCTATGCACCATTTTTAATTTATAATTTATATTCAGTCACGTCCACAGATGCGTCGCATTCTTTTTTATTTGATAAATAATTCGAAAGCTCAGAAAGTTTGAAAAGTTACTTCTTCTGACGGTGAAACAATCCACACGATCAGCGTCTGATCCGCCCGTCCTCCCCAGGAGCTGAACGCCTGCCAAATCCAGGCTAGAATTAGAGCCTCGATCGTCTTACGGCACCGACAGATGCGAGATAGAAAATATCATAATACTGTTCTGGCATAATATTGGTTCATCATCAGACATAATCCTGCTGTAATATCAGACGTAATCCTGCTGTAACGCGAGACTTAATCCTGCTGTAACACGAGACATGATCCAGCTGTAATATCAGACAAGATCCAACAGTAACATCAGACATGATCCTGCTGTAACAGCAGACATAATCCTGCTGTAACATCAGACATAATCCTGCTGTAACATCAGACATAATCCTGCTGTAACATCAGACATAGTCCTGCTGTAACATAAGAATCCTACATAGACTCCACGACACGCAGGGCCGCCTCATATAGGCGCCTCTCTTGCCTTGCTTGCTGTAAGATGCCTTCCTGTTGGTTGGCCGCCGAAGACGCGCCTCTTGCGGCTCTCGTTCACACGACGCCACAATGTCTATAGGAGGTCATGCTTCAGCCTCGCCTTCGTTAGCGGCCGACACAAGTTCTTTATTTCGGTGCCTCGCGATAACCGTTCACAAAAGTCCGGAAATCTTTGGTTGCTGTGAAGTCACGCCCTCAGCATCCATGTTTTCTTCGGCGGAATTTAATACCGCAGCTCCGAAATTGACAGCTTCCGTCGCACCGGATTTTTCAATTTGCTCCACATATTGGTGCTGCTACCGCCTCGGTTACACTCACTCTGTTACACTCTGTTACACTCTGTTATATTCTGCTACCCTCCCTCTGTTACACTCTGATACGCTCTGTTACCCTTCCTCTTTTTCTCTCCCTTTGTTACCTTCCCTTTGTTACACTCTGATACGCTCTGCTACCCTCCCTCTGTTACACTCTGCTCCTCGTCGTCTAATCCTCTTCCTCTGTTACCCTCTCTCTGTTGCCCTATGTTGCCCTCCCTCTGTTACTCTCTGTTACTCTCTGTTACCCTCTGTTACCTTCCTTCTGTTACTCTCTGTTGCCCTCTGTTACCCTCCTTCTGTTACTATCTGTTGCCCTCTGTTACCATCCCTCTGTTACTATCTGTTACCCTCTGTTACCCTCCGTCTATAACCTTCATGGCTCGATGAGGTCTGCGTGCAATACACGACCTGCCGCTCGTTGTGTTGTGCCTTCAAAGTTTCCGTTTCCTCGCCTGGAAGTTTCGAATATCTTCAAGATTGCCAATACCGCCATCTTTATTTGTTCGAGTGTCGTCAGTGAAGAGTTTTTTGTTGATTGCGAATCAGAAACTGGATATTCTCGTATATTTTAATTTTTTTCAAGTGAATTGTGCGATTGGAAAAGTTTTTCAAGTAACATCAATTTTATTCATTAAAGAGTGATGAATGATAAAGCTTGTGGCATAGTTGGCACTTGGCATTACGTTATTTATACAACGTAATTAATGCTGATTTTTAGGTATTCATTCGAAAATTATCTTATCCAATAATTTTCTTGTTTCCAACAGACGCGTCCACCCATCCGAACAGCAACGTACAGCCTCCCTCACCCCCTCCTCCAACTCTCAACCTCTCGGCCGAGTACAACCCCTTACTGCCCTCTAACTCCTCAAACTCCACCAACTCCACCCCCAACAACAGCTCTCCCCCCACCATCCCTCCAACACTTCACTCCAACTCATCCTCCTCCAGCATGTCGCGGCCCAATGGTAGGATGGTACACAACCCACCTCCTCTGCCCACTCACATCAAGTCCAGTCCAGCACATCACTATCACCAGCCCACCAGTCCCCAGTATCCAGCACACGTCCAGTCCTCGGGACCAAACCAGCAGTTCGTGCCAGGCAACACGAACCTGTCGTCCCTGCACGACGAATACGAACCTGGGACTCTCGTACGAACCCCGTCTGGCAACCTCTACATCCCGTCAGGTGAGGTGCTGATGTTGTGGCAGCTACATCCCGTCAAGGGAAAATAATATCATAAGGCAAGATCCTCATCAAGTTGCGGTAAATATGAACTATCATGTAAATTGCAAAATTTTTTTCTCGACAATTTGGACTCTACATGGAAATTGGTGGCCCGCACTTCCATTATTGCACATAATTCAATCCAGTTCCCCAGTGTTATATTTATTCACATTCGTAAGTAATATCATATACTTGGGATTATTTTCAAAATAAATTATTGATATTTATATAATATACCTCCACTCTCCCTCCTCAGATGATGCCTAAGGTTTATGTAAATGTAGATGCACTAAAAAAATGTACGAGACATTCATTTTGTAGAAAAATATTAACACTTTCTCATAAAAAAAAATATTCTGATAAAAAATATTGACAAAGTGCAGACGTTGAACTGAAAGGCTGTCTTTCCGAACCAAACTGGGTCAGGGTGACCTACACAGAAATAAAAAGTGCATCACTATTTTGACAAAGTCATACTCATTGCTCTGAGTGTAGATTGGACATACCATCGCTGCTTTCACGCAGAGATAACGGATATCTCGAAACAACCCAACACTGTTGCCAGCCTTGTTCTTATTCTGTTTACGTCATTTCCAATAATTGTCTTCAATTTTTACCCAAACTATTTGATGAAGCCGGTGACTTCAAATGATGTAATGTACGCAGAGAGTCTAAAATTGAAAAGTTTACTGTTTGATATTTATTCTGTTTAATATGAATGATGGTAAAACGTTCAAGGGCGATGGTATAAGCAATCTGCCTGCTGCTCGAAATATACAATCTCTTACAATTAGACGGCGACCACGAGCATAGAAGAGTCTGAATTCTTATATCACTTTATCCATGATATTTTAATTTCTTCAAAATTACCCTCAAAATGTTAAAGGAATGCACATGTGTTTTTTCTAAATTCAATTTCGTAAAATGTGTAACTTGGTTAGGCTGGAAACAAGTGCCCATGTTTGCATTAATTCCGTACCTGCAAATTTTTAAATTCGACAGCATTATAGGGTAACATGGGGCAGCGAGCCCACTGCGGGTCATGGGCCCATAGCGGGTTTCTCGCTAAGTATGGCAGATATTGGTCCGTGTTCTCATTCATCAAAAATTTAGTTTAAAAAAAGTGGGGGGCGCGCTGCCCCACGTTGCCCTACCCTACAACCAAAACTGGCTTGAAAATCCAGCATCGAATGAACATGAAACGAATATTCTTAATGTTGATCCAAAGAATAAGTGTTAGTCAGAGATATGAACACCAACGATAGCTGAACACAAGCGTTATATAAAGTTTACTCTACACTCTGATACCGCGAATAAGTCTACGGAGTCCGGGATCGCATACCGACAGGTAGAGAATTTGCTTTCTTTGGCCGGCCAAAGAAGTGTTTGGCCAACACTCGTAGAGTTGGCGTCCGGCAGCAGATCTAGTTAGCTGATTATTGCCAGATCACTGGACTCAATTCTGCGAAAATTTTAAGTGAATTTGTTCAGCGGTTCCGTACGCTAGAATGCTTTTTGAATTTCGCGAGATGATTTGGGCGCAGATATTCTCGGGCCAGCGCGTATATCAGAGAAATGAAGATGGATTTAATCGGATGAAGAATTTGCGGAATCAAGGAAACTGAATTTATTGATCATCTACTCGATAAGTCGACTGTGTTTGCAAAATTTGGTATTTTTAAATTTTTATATTATGATGACAATTTTCATGACAGCATGCCGGTAAATTGACTATTCACTTCGGTTTTGAGGTTATATAAGTATAGTCTAAATTCATTATCAGATTTTGAGACTATACTTGATTATCTCAGTCTTCTTATTTAAATTATCATTATATATATTTAATCTCTATCTTCCAATGCACTTTGCATTGACAAGATGCTGTAATTTCTTGCTAATCCGTTCCATTTCTAATATTTCTTTTCACTTTGCTCCATCCTCAGCGTAATGAATACCTAACAAATTACTACTCATAACAGTAATTCTGCAGTCCGATTAATTCATGCTTTTATTCTGTACAAAATATATAGATATTCGTTAACACAGCGAGCACGATAAGAAAACCTGAGTAACGCGTGCAAGACCCCAACTTGCCTCATTACTGCAGCGATTATCCTCAAGTAACCTTGCCTGAACCTTTGGCTCGGTCTGAACTTCTGCTTCAGTCTTAGCCCTCGCCTAAATCCGAACCCCCGCCTCAATCCGAACCCCTGCCTCAATCTGAACCTTTCAGATCAATCTGAACCGAACCTCCGCCTCAATCTGAACCGAACCCCCTCCTCAATCTGAACCTTTCAGATCAATCTGAACCGAATCCCCGCCTCAATCTGAAGCAAACCCCCTCCTCAATCTGAACCTTTCAGATCAATCTAAACCGAACCCCCGCCTCAATCTGAACCTTTATCCGAAACCCCGAGTTAATCAGCGGCCCCGCCTCAGTTGCTCCTTGACTTGGTCTGTGTAGTTTTGCTGCGTTTCACCGGCCGCTGGAATCAAGCGCTGATGCAGCTGGGCCTCCCTGCGACTGATTGGCCTCCCAGCTGCTGAATTGGTCCCTGTGAGCGAGTTCCATAAGATATGGTGCTTTGGATGTGTTCTATACGAGCTCGACGTTTAGGAATGTAGTTCAGGCCATAAGAGTTGAAAATGAGATTAGACGTAAAAATGCAACGGCAGAATTGATATCTCGAGTGGAATGTAACTCAAAAATTTTGTGAATATTGAACCAAGTAATTTTAAATTAGTAATCCACCTCTTCGTTCTATTCCTCGCGCCGTCGCTTGTTTACTTCGCGACCTCAAAGCGCAGCGCAGCACGCGATGCTGGGGCGATAAGCTCCCCGGTCCCATGTGGGGCTGAAGTGGCTTGTTGAAATTTAGCTGCCATATTCTCCAGGTACAGTTAAAATACCCTGCTGATAAAGGTACCAGTTACTGCAACACGAGTACCAGTTACTGCAGATATATCATACCACACGCAGTACAGACCTAACGCTCCACAAAAAGGGATGTTCTGTTTATGTTCTATATGTGCCTTCAGTTATTTGATTCTGATCTGAAATTGTGCAACGATTGCACTAGAGATACTGTAGCTGCACGCTTGGGGATACTGTAGCTCCCTCATGCCGCAACGGTGCCTGTAGTACATGGTAGCGGTGTCTGCAGTACATGGTAGTGGTGTCTGCAGTACATGGTAGCGGTGTCTGCAGTACATGGTAGTGGTGTCTGCAGTACATGGTAGTGGTGTCTGCAGTACATGGTAGTGGTGTCTACAGTACATGGTAGTGGTGTCTGCAGTACATGGTAGTGGTGTCTGCTGTACATGGTAGCGGTGTCTGCAGTACATGGTCGGGTCGTCAACCGGCCTACAATTGAAGCGGCCGTCGGGCCGACTATTTGGCTGCGGGCCCGCTGGCCCGATGCATGTCCCGGCGCAGAACTTCCTGCGCCGTCGCACGGGTTCCATAAATTTAAGCCAGGGGTCTTTGAAGGGCCAAGGCTGGCAATAAAGCCGGGCCCAGCTAACATATTGCGCTTTATATTCCAAGCTTTTGCATCCAGCGCCGGCCTACTGCCGAGACAGCGAGCGCCGCCACCGCTTCCTGATCCAGCGTCTACGATTAATTTTTTCGAGTTGTTTAATATATTTAATGGCTACCATTTATTATTTAATTCATAAATATATGTATAAACACTCTAGAATTGTACACATTTCTCTTTCAACTGCAATGAGACTTTAACTTACCATGAAATTCCGCAACGTTTTTTTTATATTAACTGTTCAGGTTCTGACGTTCTGTCAAGGTTTGACATAAACATTCTATAACGTCATTATGTCACATAATCTTATAAATATTCTATCACGTATCATCATTCTATAAAATTCGGTCATTTTACTGGGCCCACGATGAGACGAGCGATGTTGTTGACATCGCTGCCTCTTCTTCTGATTTACTGACTTCCGAGCTGCAGAGTTTTAAACTTTTTGATGGGATATTGAGGCTAGCTGTGCGACGAGGATACTTCGTCATTCGATGATATTGAGGCTAACTATTATTATTATTATTAAATCACTGATGATGTATGCTTATGCATAGTTTATCATGATATCAGTAATGCGATCTGGCGATGAATATGTCGTTGACATCAACGTCATGTATGAGAGATTTGAGTTCACATTCACTTTTCAACGATGTAAATTGACTCATCTAGATGTTCGCGAATGTTAATTATACATTAATACGTTATTTTGGCTTTTGCATTCACTACACACCTCATTATCATGTTTTGATAGTCTCCCTAACTCCTTGGAGTGGTTAAGTAGTCATTCTCCCTAATGAGATGACATCTAGTGTATCTTTGAGTTCACTGTCGCCTTTAATGAGCGGCTGCTTGGTCTATAAGCTGCTAATGAGCTCACTGCTGGACACGCCTCAGTCAGCGTAAGGCAGTTGTAAAATCAAATCATGCGTTCAAACATTTTGATAATGCGCTAAATGCACGCGATAAAGTTCGCGTGCATGTGAAGGCATGTGTTCAAACAGTTTGGTAATTCGCTAAATGCACGCAATAAAATTTGTAATATCAAACCATGTGTTCAAACATTTTGACAATATGCCAAAATATGCAAAGTGACATCTAAAACTATGCCATACATCCAGGCAACACTTAATTATCTTTGGTAGGAAGTCAGTTTGCCGTCCCTGCATTTGCACTATTTTTCTTCCACGGAACTTAAAGAGAAGTCCAGGTTGACTTTCCATTATGAAGGCTGCGGTGAGTTTACCCGCGCTCATCTCAAACACTGCACCTGCAGGGTGACTTGGGCACCATATATCTTACTCACCGAGCTGAGTTACGGGTGACTTTGGGTGAATTGGGGTGAACACAAGGAGAGTTAATCTATAAAAGGCATATGCAGCTATCATCTTGGTCTTTTGAATGCTTTGAACGGCTTTGAAACCGCGGTAAAAGACATCAGCAACTTCTGTATTAATTTGTATGTTTTGACGTTACTATCCGTGGCAAACCATCGGCGTGCGAACTCCATTCGATAAAAATTCTGAACCGTTCGCGCGCATCGTATACTATGCAGGTCTTATGAAAAATTAATTATTAATTTGTAGTTTTCTCATAACTTTTCACCATTGTTCTGTCATTATCTGAGCCCCGTTACTGCCACGACCGCTTCGTGCAGCGCGCCTTAGTAGGCTACTAGGCGCCTACGCAGCTCCCTATATTAGAGGCGCCTAAACTGAACCTTACTAGCGGTGCCTGGACATCCATCGTGTATCATGACTAAAAATTTGGAATGTTTCGAGACGGTCAAAGCTTGGCCGGCTGACTGCCTAGACTGTCAGATCATGGCCGGCTGACTGCCTTGACGGTCAAAGCATGACCGGCTGATGGCCTAGAGCCCTAGACGGTCAAAGCATGGCCGGCTGTCGGCCTAGACGGTCAGAACGTGGCCGGCTGACTGCCTAGACAGTCAAAGCATTGCCGGCTGACGGCCTCCTATAACACGCCGATGATTTACTACAGGGTACATCTTACCCACCGCTGCTAAATTGTGTTCAAAGTAAGCCAATATGGCGGGGGCTCCCAGGGGGGCTTTTGGCCAAGTCGCGCGCCTCTATGTTGTCCTGCTAGGGATTATACCACTTGGTCTTGTGCTGGTGTGAGGGGTGCGGTGTAGCTTTGTTATAGCTGTATTACTGCTCGTGTTTTTTCTGGTTTTATAGTTGGCAAGATGGCTGCCCTTCAGATGTATTATTACTGATATTGTAGTGGCCTTATAGATTTTTTAGGTTTATTCCAGGTGACTGCTATAATAGCTGCTATTATAGCAGTCTTCCAGCTGCAATATAGCTGCTGTTGTGGCTGTATAATGTTAATGTGCTATATATATGTATATATATGTATATTATATGTATATGTACATATATATTAAATGTATATTATATGTATGTATTGTAACTGGAATTAGAGCGCCATAATTCAAGCGCTATAACTTAAGCAAATTTTTTAGGTGCCTAATGCTGTTATTATTACCTTCATAGCTGTATTATTATTCTATTTTTGCTGCATTATTGAGGTATAATAGCTGAAATTTGAGCTTTACTATAGCTGTTCTTTTTTTAGCTGGTAACTTGGGTAGGTTTTGCTATATTATTGCGATATTATAGCAGGTATTACTGCTAGTTTAACAGCTAGCATAAAATATGCATTATGCCTGGTTTATATCTAGGTTATATATACAGTGGGGGGGTACACAAACTTAACAGGAAAAGGGATTTAAATTATGTATAGAGACGCATAGTATTCAAAACTACTATCAAAAGAAATTAAGTTTCAATGCAACAAAAAACAATGCAACATGTTCACTTTTCGGACTTTTTTCTATAACCTTTTGAAAAACTATCGATATGGCAGAGTATAGCCAGTATAACAGTAGTACAACCTGTTATATATTGCGTTATTAAGGCTGTGATTGAAGTTAATGTAAGAACTGTTATAATAATTCGTATATATCTGGTGTTGCTGCGGTATTTAAGCCGTGCCCTACATGTACAACGACGGTCGTACGTGCGACCCCACGACGGCCGTATGCACGACCCCACGACGGCCGTATGTACGACCCCACGATGGCCGTATGTACGACCCCACGATGGCCGTATGTACGACCCCACGATGGCCGTATCTACGACCCCACGATGGCCGTATGTATGATCCCACGATGGCCGTATGTACGCCCCCACGATGGCCGTATGTACGCCCCCACGATGGCCGTATGAACGACCCCACGACGGTCGTACGTGTGACCCCACGACGGCCGGATGTACGACCCCACGATGGCCGTATGTACGACCCCACGACGGCCGTACGTACGACCTCACGATGGCCGTATGTATGACCCCACGACCGCCGTATCTACGACCCCACGATGGCCGTATGTACGGCCCCACGACGGCCGTGTGTACGACCCCACGACGGTCGTACGTGTGACCCCACGACGGCCGTATGTACGACCCAACGACGGCCGTACGTAAGGCCCCACGACGGTCGTGCTGCCGTGAGGCCGTCATGCTGAGGCAGCGCTCGAGTTGCCGGAGAACTGCATTTGCATGTCAAAGTGAGGCGCCGACCTTGTGACAGCGGCGAGGCAGAGCAGTGAGGCAGAGCAGTGAGGCAGAGCAGTGAGGCAGAGTAGTGAGGCAGAGCAGTGAGGCAGAGCAGTGAGGCAGAGCAGTGAGGCAGAGCAGTCAGGCAGAGCAGTGAGGCAGGGCATTAACTGGACCATAATCCCTATTATTCCTATTTTAGATACACTTTATGCCGAGTTGAGTTCCTGACAACGATATTTTGATTGCAATTTCGTGCTCGGCTGGCGTCCCTGACGGCATCAGCCACGTGGCTGAACAGCCACGTGGCTGAACAGCCACACACTGCGCTCAGCCATATGGACGAACAGCCACTTACTGCGCTCAGCCATATGAACGAACAGCCACTTACTGCGCTCTGCCATATGGACGAACAGCCACTTACTGCGCTCAGCCATATGGACGAACAGCCACTTACTGCGCTCAGCCATATGGACGAACAGCCACTTACTGCGCTCTGCCATATGGACGAACAACCACTTACTATGCTCTGCCATATGGACGAACAGCCACTTACTGCGCTCAGCCATATGGACGAACAGCCACTTACTGCGCTCTGCCATATGGACGAACAACCACTTACTGCGCTCAGCCATATGGTCGAACAGCCACTTACTATGCTCTGCCATATGGACGAACAGCCACTTACTGCGCTCAGCCATATGGACGAACAGCCACTTACTAAGCTCTGCCATATGGACGAACAACCACTTACTGCGCTCAGCCATATGGCTTGCTCTACCACAGATGTGATTTTTCTGATATGTTTCAGTGAAATTTGTGAAAATAATTTGAAGAAAAAATTATAAAAAAGATAAACCACTAATGATTATAAACGCGTTGTAAAGATCACTAATCAACAATGTGTGGTAATTATATAGTATTTTAATTTTGACATGTATATTAATAAACTAAAAAATGCATTGTATAATAGGAAACAAGAGGAAATTATCGAGCCGGTTAAAATTGTCTGGTTCAATTATTTACCGAACTATGCTTATTTTACCTTCTGAAAATGTAAAAAAATATCATAAAGTTAGCGTATCTGGACCTAACCTCAGAAAGATTATAAGACAATTGTAAAAATGATTTTGCAGCCCTATTTCAAACCTAACGAGGTTTGCGCAAAAACATGTCCGGTGATTAAAGAAAGAGGGATTCACGGAAACTTCCTGATTTGAATGATCAATAAAAATAAAACTAATATAGATATCAATACAATATAAATTTTATTGAAAAAGACATTACCCGAATTTTTGTATCACCTAGCTTTATATGTATATGACGTCGTACAAATGACGGCTCAATTTTCAATGCATTCAGTTAGTCGATTTTTGAAGTTCCGTTCTACTCGTAGAATCATATTGACGGGTATGTTGGCAATAGCTTGGCGTATGTAGTGAGGGGTAGGGTCAAATGAGGTAGGGTCATGACAATTGATTTAATAACTGACCTCTAACTTTCACACTTCCACTTGCCCTAAATGTGTCAACCCACCTTGCCTTTCATATAAAATACTTCCCTCCTTTCCTCTACAACGTCTGGCTGAAGTACATTTGGTGCGAAATACAAAATAGGAAGTTTTCGTGAATTACCTTGTATTAATTAGCTACGCGGTGAATCACCGGACGCATTTTTTGTCCGGATTTCTATTCCCTGTCCGATAATGTTTCCAATTTAGTCCGGATATTACAGGAATTCACACACATGTAGATAAAAATTATTTATTATATTATTATTATTATAAATTTATTCAATGAAATTTTATCGCATTACTGTTAAATGTATTTTAATGATGCCTAATGATGATCATCGCTCCCCACCCTCAGACGCGAAGGGGTCTACGCTGGACTACTCCTGCGGTCTGACAAGCCCTGGGCTGCACTCGCCGGTCAAATCAGACCATGCCAAAACCCTCGACGCGTGAGTAGCCAGACCTCAGGACTTACCTGGTTCGTCAGACCTCTTGTTGACGGGCTTCTCTTGCCAGACCCAAGATAATTTATAAATTGTTCAGCTAACACCTTTCAGGGATCACTGGTTCAGGGTAACTAATGAAGTGACCAGCAGTTCAGGGTAACTAATGAAGTGACCAGCAGTTCAGGGTAACTAATGAAGTGACCAGCAGTTCAGGGTAACTAATGAAGTGACCAGCAGTTCAGGGTAACTAATAAAGTGACCAGCAGTTCAGGGTAACTAATAAAGTGACCAGCAGTTCAGGGTAACTAATAAAGTGACCAGCAGTTCAGGGTAACTAATAAAGTGACCAGCAGTTCAGGGTAACTAATAAAGTGACCAGCAGTTCAGGGTAACTAATAAAGTGACCAGCAGTTCAGGGTAACTAATAAAGTGACCAGCAGTTCAGGGCAACTAATACAGTGGCCAGCAGTTCAAGGTAACTGATGAAATGACCAGCAGTTCTGGGTAACTAATGAAGTGACCAGCATTTCAGGGTAACTAATGTAGATGACAATAGTCAAATAAAAAACTATCAAAGTCCATGTCTATGCTAGGATTTTGAATACTGTAATGATCTTTCGTGCCGAGGTTAAATAATGATCTCGAGTTAACACAATTAATTTAATTTTGATGAAAAGTGAACACTTAAATTAAGAACATTGAACAGAACAAAGTTGACTTGAACATATGGGCATCTTTATAGGGAAGAGAACGATCTTTCTTCATATGCTAGGGCACAGCATAGTAGATGTTCGTCACAACACAGTACCAGATTATATATGCACAACACTGAATCTTCTTGGTAGCTTCTTGTGATCTTCTATCCGGGTTGACTTCTCCCTACATGAACAAAATCAAATTTACAATTAGTCTGGTAATTCCCTACTAGATATCTCACATTGTATCAACACACCAAATAAATGCAACATTGATAAATATCGACAGTTACACATACCTCTGCAGTTGTCTGAATTCTCTAAACTAGTCCTTGCTTTGATCCCACAACAAGTCAGCTCTGAATTCTCACACTGCTACGGGATCGTCAACACCTCAACTTATTCTACGTCCCACACATTAGTTACTATTGTTCTTATTCTCCCTCTGTTTCCCACAGTAGACCTGAATATTCAGCCAAGATCCCTACAAATACCAAATGCTAAAAAATGAGTTTTCTCCTCACTCATCTGAAATTTAAATATTTCATTGCTATAAAAAACATAATTTATATCCCCTTTCAAAATATGAAATCGTCACCGCAGCACGCGTTCAGAATAGTTTTGGTAATATCAAGTTAGGTTGAAGTGAGCGCTCCTGCTGCCGCTCTGTTCAGGGCACTCTCTTGAATTGCTCCTACGCTGGTGAGGCTACATGGCCTTCACCATTACACCGTTCATACTGACTGCTATAATTATAATATTAATAATAGTTAATAATAATAATAATATCATTACTATTATTATTATTACTGTTATTATTATTATTAAAACAAAACTGCTCTAATTATTTATTTCAATATTTGCTATAAATGCACTGCAATTCTTTGAAAAATGTCTTCCTGATGTAAAGAGCACGCAATAACAGGTGCAAGTTTAATAAATTCCAATCAGTTGAAACACAGCATCGGAATCTTCCTTTGCGTCTCAACGAAGGAGAATTAACCACGACCAAAGACACTTAAATCTTCATCGACTTTTCCGTAGAGTTTTGTGCTCCTCATCTTGCGTTGAGTGGGTGAGTTGGATGTACACCTCATCATATATTGAGGCGAATGAAAGCATAAATAAATTATGATGTGTAGGTAACTAACTGCCAATGTGTAGGTAACTAACTGCCAATGTGTAAGTAATTAACTGCCGATGTGTAGGTAACTAACTGTCGATGTGCAGGAAACTAACTGCCCGATGGGTAGGCAACTAACTTCATCGATGTTTAGGTACGTGATTTAGTCTATATGTCGGTAAACACGACCCCAACGAACGGTTCTCGTTCATTTTTCATTAGACTTCTAAAGTTCAATCTAAAGGGCACTTTCCATATCGTGCAAATCGTCTATTATACAACGGCCATCCCGAAAGTGAAGAGCCCAATCAACGTCGGCCGACCGACGGCCGCCGTTCGGCCGCGCCTGCTACGGCCACGGCCGTAAATGTTAAGAGTCTTTGTTGTTCGTCAGACCGCTTCCATCCATTGTGGTGACACGTGGCATTCAATGTTAACTTCGAAGAATTTCTGGATGAACTTTATAAACTTTCACATAGTTACCACGTGAGTAATTTCAGAGTCTGTTCCCTGTTTGTTGCATCGTTAACATTAATTGCACATGACTAGTTAATTAACAAACTAGTATCGTCAAAAGATGCAACGACCTTTTCAATCTCATAAACTATACTCATGGTAAATGTCGGGACGACTGCTAATCCCGAATTTGTTCAGATGTCCGAACCATGAATGTTACTTGCATTGAATATTCATTAAAAAATTTTTCCAGAAATGCGATTAAAAAATATAATGTATATATAAATCTATTTTATTATTATATTCATCATTCAATTTATTGTTCCAGTTAGAAGCGAACAAAATCCGACAATCGTCGGCTATCCTTCCGGCGATTCTAAATCTTCCATAAATAATAATTCGTAGGCACTCTCTGGGCTCTAGATTTGAAGAAAATATCACAACTTCACATTGATCAAGTTAAGAAGAAGAATCATTCTCTTGTCTATTACACACAAAAACAAAATATAATCAAAAGTTTATTCGAAGTAAAATTATTTCACGTTCAGTATTCAAGTCTTCGTTGAATAACATGTATACTTTCTATTCCATTTCGCTATTCTTGTTTCCAAAACGAAGCTGAAAAAGAAGTTAGATTCCTGCGAGTCTGTCAGTGGCAGCTTTGGCTTTTTCTCGCCTGGGAAATGCCACTTTTTCGGCAAGTTTTTTTTAGCTTGCTGATTAGGTTTAACAGCCATATGGCGTCTGCTGAACAGCCATGTGTGCAGGGCTCCACACGCCACACCCGCCAGCCATGTCCTGGCAAAACAGCCATGTGTGCGGGGCTCCACACGCCATACCCGCTAGCCATGTTCTGGCAAAACAGCCATGTGTGCCGGGCTCCACACGCCACACCCGCCAGCCATGTCCTGGCAAAACAGCCATGTGTGTAGGGGCTCCACACGCCACACCCGCCAGCCATGTCCTGGCAAAACAGCCATGTGTGCAGGGCTCCATAGGCCATACCCGCTAGCCATATCCTGGCAAAACAGCCATGTGTGCAGGGCTCCATAGGCCATACCCGCTAGCCATATCCTGGCAAAACAGCCATGTGTGCCGGGCTCTACACGCCATACCCGCTAGCCGTGTTCAAGACATGTTCTTGAAGACCAACGCCATTTAATTTCTACTGTTACATTTTCCTTTCTTAAACGTTCGAAGTAAACAGTCTACTTGAGTTAAATCATTCACATTTAATCCATCGTTGAGGCCTTGTGAATGAATACAAATTTCCAAATTTCTCGAATATATATATTAATTTCCAGGTCTCTCAGCGAAAATGGGAAGTTCTCATCTGTTAAATCATCTTCTGTAGAATATTTCTCTTCTAGACTAGTTTCTGTAGAATATAATGAGGCAACATAAGGCAGGTAGGTATGATGGGCACAGGATTAAAGCAACATGAGGCTGGCGAGGCGGCTATGCTAACCTCCATGAGGCGTGAGGCAGACCCAACATGATTCATTACCACCGCGAGCGGCGGTGTTTACCCGCCGCCCCTGGGCAAATACTGCGAGTGTCGGCCAGAATGAGCCTGAAATATACACTAGCAATGTTGCTCATGGCGGGGACGGGCGTCCACATGGTGGTGGGCGGCCATATGGAGGCAGACCTTCATTGTGACGATGGTGTCCATATGGGGGCTAGGCTCAGATACACACAGTGAGCTAAAATGTGTGGTAGTTAGAGGATAACTTAATGTAGTGAATTAGGTGAAGGCAAGCATGTGAATATGATGAATCAAGGCAGGGACTGTGGGTGTGATGATGCAGCTGTTGCTCTGGTGCAGCTGCGCGTTGCACTTATGAGCTGCATTCATAGTTAGCAGTTATGAGCTGCATTCATAGTTTGCAGTTATGAGCTGCATTCATAGTTAAGCAGTTATGAGCTGCATTCATAGTTAGCAGTTATGAGCTGCATTCATAGTTAGCAGTTAAGAGCTGCAGTTCATAGTTAGCAGTTATGAGCTGCAGTTCACAGTTAGCAGTTATGAGCTGCAGTTCACAGTTAGCAGTTATGAGCTGCAGTTCATAGTTAGCAGTTAAGAGCTGCAGTTCACAGTTAGCAGTTATGAGCTGTAATTTGCATTGGAGTGCCAGGGCGCTGCAGAGGCGGACTGCTGAGCGCCTAATTGAGATGACGCCTGGAGCGGCTATGAGAGCTCCTGACGGCGCCTGTCAAGCCTCATTAGTGGCACTCGCTGCCATTCTTCTGCAGTGCCACCCGCCTACAAGTCAGCCCATGCACAGTGCCACTCGCAGTGCCACCTTCCCACTGTGACTAAAAAATTATTTTCTTCTTGTCCACAGCTACCGGCAGCATTTCACTGCACAAGCTTCACTTTAATTATCAATGAATGAAGCAAAATATTATTATTGATGATATATTATAATATATATAATGACATTTACGTAAAAATTAACTGATAAACATTTTTTTCTCTACTGATCGCCAGCTACCACAGCCACTTCAGCACCGGTCTGCCGGGTGTGGCGGGGCGCCACAATTTGCTGCGTGGCACCGCGTCGCCGTCCCACCGCTCACTGAGGGGCCTGGCTGGCGGGGGAGCGAGTGCTGGCGGGTTGTGCGGGGCAAGCGGCGCCAGTGCCGGTCGAGGCTTCAGTAGAAGAGGATGTCTATCTGCGTGCTCATGGAGGTGTACGGCCGTCATATTCATCTGTATCAGCTGTTTGCTGTGCTCCTTACTCGGTTTCGTGCTTGGTGAGTAATGAATTCTTCAGTAGTTTTAATTAAATTTACTGATAACTTGCAGGCTAGCTAGGAATTTATAATTTCTGATTGTTTGTAATTTCGTTGCCCCACTAATCCGAATAAAATTAAGTTATGCTTAAAAAAAATTCTTACATAGAACACGAAGCAGCCCCAACAGCCCCTATATACAATATCCCGACACGATAAGTATCCTGGATACGCGCCCCAACAGCCCCTATATACAATATCCCGACACGATAAGTATCCTGGATACGCGCCCCAACAGCCCCTATATACAATATCCCGACACGATAAGTATCCTGGATACGCGCCCCAATAGCCCCTATATACAATATCCCGACACGATAAGTATCCTGGATACGCGCCCCAACAGCACTTACGTATTTGTGGTGCCAGGTATCAAGCACTTACAATATCTGACAAAAAATATAAGATGATTAAAATTCCCCTTGAAATAATATCTTGTCATTTTTTTAATTGCTCATACTTCTGCTAAATTAGGTTAGAACGTACATCCTCTGTGATTATCCTCGAAATAAATTACTCAATCCTATGTCTTCTGCAAAGTCGAAACTTATATTGGAACTAGTTGTGAATGCATGATCAGCATTGATATATTCAATTTTGTTGCCCACTATTTTGTGAACAGAAAATTATTCAAGTCGAGCTTATCCATGCAGAAATATTTACAATTCATGCTGAGCTCCGCGTTAAAGTCTACGGATTTGCATTCAAATGTATCAGTATCTTTTTGAATTTATATAATTATATCGGAAATCGTATGCTAAAGTATTGTATACCCTCACATCCCCTCACGTCCTCTAACCGTAATAATATTCTCATAGGCCTCATTAGCGAAGCCATAGGATTTTTTTGCGCGGTGGGGCTGGCCTGGGGAAGAAGTAGCGACCGCAGGCTGAGGAATAATGATGTTGTCTTGCGGCCGCGGGGCCAGCGACGAATATTCGGTGACGATCCCAAATAGCGGTGGCGGGCTGACGGTGGCTCACGAATATGGATTAGATAATATTGACGGATGCTGTATGGAACAAAATATGCAAATATGGCTCGGAAACTATACAAATAAGGCTTGGTTAATACCAATGAAATTGGCTTGGACAATATCGACGAATAATATACGGCTTTAATACTGTAGATGCGCAATAAATATATATTACATAATTTCCTGTTATTCCGTTTGTCAGTTTGTCCTGTTGTCCGTTGAATTTGGCTTTATATTCGGTGCGTCGAATATGAATGCATTCTGAAGCCGATATCCATTATTCATATCGTTCGTTAACCATTCCAAGCTTACCATGACGCATGCGCATAACTAGGGCCGCTAGTTTTATCTGATTTTACTTTATCTCAGACGTTCTTTCCATATTTTGAGAAGATACATCGCTTTTATATCTACCGAATTAAAATGTTCGTTCCAATATGCGACGGCAGTATTTTTCATCTATTCATTGTAGATTTGTCATACCATCGAATCATCGGCTATTTATTAATGCAAAAATATCCGTCACTTTGTCTCATTAAGTTTTGATGCCATGTAAGGTAATCTGTTCATTCGGATGCTGCACTTTTGATAAGAAATGGCCACTGCCACGTTCTTATCAGCTCACTTGCCGCACTCCTGTCACATTTCCGGCTTGCGCCCTGCCCGTTTCGAGCCGTCGAGCCGCGGGCTGTGGCATTCCATCACGGCGCGATGCCACATCAGCATAATGCATCGCGCCGCTCCAGCCATCTTTGCATGCCACCTGAATAATCCATGGCTGCCACATGGCAATTGCTCCAAACGCCACATTACCATGTTGACCGCATGCCATGGCAGCTTCACAGCCCAACATGAGGGAGATGTTCTGCACCTTGAGAGCATTCCAATCTTGAGGAATGTTGGCCAGTCGCAGTGTGTAACGGGACTCTTATGAATGATGTTACAGCGGTAACAAGATGGCGCTACAACCGTAACAAGATGACGTTATAGCCGAAACAAGATGGCGCTACCGCCGTAACGCGATGGCGCAAGAGCCGTAACAAAGATGGCTCTAAAGCGCTAAGAAGATGGCGCTACAGCCATAACAAGAAATACGGTCACATTTCCTGGCCGTTATGCAACTTGAAGGCCGTCCCACGATACGTAGTGGCTATCATTATACAACGCCACGGCCGTGACAATGAGACGCATTACAGCGCGATGACATCATGGCCGTGACCGTGTGAGTTACGGCCTCGTCACGCCGTCCGCGCTGCCAATTTCACGGCTGCTGGCCGTCTTGTGATGACTCATCCTGTTCCTGAGAGCTCGCTGATCCTTCTGATCACGCGGATCCAGCGGATTTATGATCACGATGATTATGACCAGATTATTTACTAATAATTTACAGAGTAACATGACGATGGCGATCAGATGATTGGCTGATGATATGCTGATGTTAATGACACCAATATACGCGCGTCCAATACAATTATTTTCGGACTCATTTTGCTGATATACCTTAGGTTATTCCTCCCACGCCTAAGCAAGAGAAAATGAAATAAAGTGGCGTTTTAGCTTAATTTATATGACCCGACCTCGTGTAGAGTCATAGTCGACTATTGTATGGCCGGCGATACATCGGCGGTCGTTTGGAGAGCCCCTGATAGCGCTGCTGGGCGCCGGGCCTGGAATTATCCTCAACCTGCGGGATTGAAGTGTCCTGCTAATACCGCCTATTGTCTTGAGATAATCAGACGCCTGACGCACCATGGGTTGCTCGGGCCGCCGCGCTAAGGGCACCTCAGACCACCGCATTATGATACGAGGATATGATTGCACAGCTGGGTGTGGTGTTCTCGGCGTCTTCATTGTACGGCCGCTTGTCGTGTTCACCATTTTTTCCTTTTCGATTCGCTCAAAACGATCACGCAGCGACGTCCATGCTGCCTGTGAAATAATATAATACGATAATTATTAATAGATGATAATATACGATTATGTTCTGAACGGATGAGCATAATGGCGGCATTATTCCCTATTAAAAATAGCGGTTGGTTTCACAACCGGCTGCCACTTACCCGGATTTCCATCTGTTGTTATCTCTAATTTCCCTGATTTGAGTTTCGTGTTTCGGCGGCGCCGTCGGGTCGTTTAAAACCTGCTGTTTGCTCACCATATAAAACTTGCGTGATCTCTCTGGGTTTTCCCCTCGAGCTTATCCCTTTAATGCGACCCAAATGAACCCTTGTTAGTAACTAAACTACGCCTTTGTCTTCTGCTCTTTAGGGTCATATTCTCGAACTGCATGCGGTGAACGTGTGTTGTGCCTTTACAGTATTTGGGTAAATTATTTTACGATAATTATAATCAAGGGTTCAGTTAACATGATACTAGTGATGAACATGACTAGTACGTGTAAATTTTTTGTTCCATGGAAATGATTTAGAGATATAATTTTTCATGGAAGTTTGGCGAAAAAATTGATTTGGTGCTTGCTGTTCTCCTTTAAACATTGGATCACTCATTTTTTCGAAGCAACTGTCAACTTGATTTTTGTTCATGAATTCACACATTTTTTTCTCTCTCCTGCAGCGACGAACTTGCTAGTGTTGCCATCGGAGGGCGGCTGCAGCGACGCGGGGTTGCCCGCTGCCAGCGAAGACTCGACGTCAGTAAGCCGCGTGACGTCGAGAGGTAACGTGTGGCAGCGTTTTGTCCTGAGCCCGCCATCCCCAAATAAGTTTCTTAACCTCCTCTCCGAGTTGCATCCTCTCGATAAACCCCCTAAAAAGTATTCCCTGCACTCACCTTCTGTTGACGGTTTTGAGTTTGCTTCTTCTGTAGACGCTTTGGTTGAGAGTAGTTCTGGCAGCGGTAGGCGTGTCAAACGCAGTGCGCCGGAAGACTCTGAAACTGATCCTGCGCCTGATGTCGGAGCTCATAATTATAATGAAATATTGACATCAAGTCCATCTTACCACTCTGACCTGGTGTTGCATGAAGAAACTACATATCCTTATTTCGAAGATGTCGATAATCAACCTGCTAAACTTCTTGATGATAACAAATTCAGCACTAACTCGCCCCGGCCTGTGACTAATCAGCCGAATGCTGCCTTTGCCAGCAATGCGCTGACTAACCCAGACAGCGATGCATCAGACGCACCGCCTGACTTTGCAAATTCCACCCCGGGATCGGAAATCATTGGCAATGAGGACACAGATTCCTTAACTGATATGCCTGTTGCCGGCACCGATGATATCGATTCAACTGATTCATTGATTTTGGTTCACTCTGATGAAGCCGGGGAAAATGACCCAGGCTTCGTATCGGCTCCTGTCGTTGATGTTGTGGAATACGACAACGTCGAGGGCCAAGCTGCAGCTGAAGACGTTGATCCATTCGCTGAAGATCCCGATGATAGCCTTATGGATTATGCTTTTGGTGAGGCAAGTTCGGACAATGTTGTAATTTATGAAATGGATTCATTTGGCACCAATACGTCTGATGCGTCATCAAAGGATTCGAGGCCGCCAATTTTTTCCGATGATAGATTTATTATATCAGAGGAAAGTTTTAAAAATGATTCGGCTTTCCCTGAAGGCAGCGGGAGTGATGGCTTGCAACCACTCAATCGATCGCTTGCGCTGGATCAGATGATGAGGGACGATCCAGTAAGTTCTTCAAAGGAAGGTTCATTAGTGGCCAAGTTGGACCGAAAAAATCTATGGAACTTGGGCTGGCTCTTTGAGAAGGAAGTTGAGGCTATGGAATCTCCTGAAAAATCTTTAAATTTTTCCGAGGTACAAAGCGATGGGGTGTTTGTTGTTCCAGGCATCTCTGCACGCGGCTCTTTACAAGCTCAAATTTACACTGGCGTAAAAAACCTGCGAAAAGGCGGAAGGAAAACAGACGCTGATTTTGTGGCGGCTGATCTGCGTAGCGATGAGCTTGGTCGGAAAGGTGGTCAAAAAGTTCCTGATGGGAGCGCTGCGACGGACACAGCCGCCGCGGGCGCACTAAATCGACCAGCTGCCTCTCAAATAAACGCGCGGTCAATAAGGAAAGGTGGGCGAAAAACCATCCAGGGCGAGAGTGCTCACGACGGAGCGTTTCTGAACGGCAGTTTGCAATCCAATGAGAGCGCTGCGGGAAGTACTTCTGATGATGCAAGTTTTGAAACTCCGGGCGGCCCAGAGTCTAATGCCGCCATAGATATTTTCCCACACTTGTTCAAAGAGGATCTCGGGAGCCACGACGATTATTATTACGAGGAGGAGAATCATTTAAGTCCCTTCGAAAGCCTCTGGCCGTCTAAAGGTAAAGAAGACCATGATAATGGTAGGACCGACCGCGAACCCCCCATTGCCCAGCGCCACTTTTTCCTTCCTTCAGCACACCCAAAGGAAGTCAGAAAAGTGATGGCAGTTCCACAGTACTCTGATGACCTCCAAGTCATGGCCTTAACTCGAGAAAATTTCCACGTTATCGCTCCCAGCGCGCCGCGACTCACTAACTTGTCGGAGGGACCGAATGCGTCCCCTGGTGCAGCTCGATCATCCGCTTCGTTGCCGTATGACTCGACCGTCCGGATCGTCCCTTACGAAGCTATGGATCACATTACGACGCACCCTCTTCGCAAGAAGGGTGGCCGAGCGACACATACTTCTAGCAGCGGCGTGTATCTAGAACCTCCGCTTACCGACATTCCTGTTCCGAATTTCGAGTCGCTCAGTAATAAGGTTCAATACCTTCACGTGACGGAGAGGCATCCCACGTGGGGCATGGAGTCATCCGTGTCTTCGACCCCGGAGAGTAACGACGTTCTAGCCCCTCAGTCTGATCCCGTTATCCCTCATTACGATTCATCGCTAAGTTATCGGAAGTTATCGAACACCCGCGTTAATACCGCCCATCATTCTGGCTATGACTCCTGGAGTTGGGGGCCGATCGATAGTCGGCAGCCAAGTGCTCCTGAGAAAGCGAAGTCTTCGTCCCTTAATGTTGCTCAGAACGGCGACGAGTTCCTACAATCCAGCGAGTCACAGCACATTGCGCACACAGTTCGTAATGCGTTGCCTTCTGCAGCGTACGAAGTATTGCCAGCTGAGCAGAATCTTCCTGTGCCATCTCACACCGGAAAGAAGCACGAAACTAATGCAGGCAAATCAATTGTGGTTGACGCCAGCGACTTTCCTTTACCAGCGCCAGAGGAGACTGGCGGGCGTCGCACTGATTCTGTGAGTATCGAGGCTGTCCAGGTGAGCCGAGGCCTCATTTCTGAGGGCTTAGCCGTGCCAGACTCAACCATTAGTAGAACCATTGCACCTCCTGCCACTTTCATTCCCAGTCTGCATGAGGTAAGCAGAAAGCGTCACTCAAAACGAGTGACTGTCAACGTCACGATAGCAACTGAGGATGACAGCAGCACCGACGGAAGGGCGCCTGCTGGACACGGCAAGCCAGTGTATGTGTTGTCCGTCTCTGTTCCCGCCTCCGGTAGCACCGATGATACAAACATTAATATATTCCGGCCGCAGACTGAGCCGGAATTTGAAGAGGAGGAGATAAGCCTAAATTCGCAAATGATGAACGATGTTCAGGTACCGCCCATGATGTTGCACGTGTCCGAGCCCGCGGTTAATGAGTCTTTGGTTAAAATGAACATCGAAGAAGGCGAACACATACCCGTGACAGACTGCTCGTCATGTCCTTGCCAATGCGTTGTGCCTGCTGGAGCTAAATTAACCTCGGAGTTATTGGCAGACGCTCTGGTCATCGAAGAATCAACCGTTATTCCTAGCGTAGATAATCCAAATAACTGCACCATCACCATACAAGCTACACCGAGTGCTGAATCTACCACTGCTGCTGTAGCCTCCACAGAAGATACCACGACTACTGAAGCTACAACACCTACAGAGACTGCCACTTCTACCGATAGTACATCACCTACAACCACTGCATCGACCACTACATCCACCACTACCACGACCACCACAACAACCACTCCACCACCTCCGCCTCTACCTATAGAAGTGATCCACAAGCTGGCAGGTGAGGTGGCATGCTTTACCGGGAAATTCTGAATTAAAACGGAAAACGACCAAAAAAGAAGAAAGATGACCATGTATTGAAATAAAAAGACACAATCTTTAACGCTACATTATTGTTTTAATATTCTAACTGCTTGCGTTTTAAGTTAACCTAATTGCTTGCTTCTACAATTATCAATTATTTATTTATTTTTAAAACTCGTTTATTCTTTTGCCATTATCAAGCAAACAGGACGCTATGAAGTAATTATTTTTGGTTCTTTTCCTTTTTTCTCAAAATTTTCCTGATTTGTGTCTGCTTTACTGTTTTTAAATTTTATGTTGCAGTTGCATAGTAAAATAAACAAATAGTTTTAGTTGTTCATTAAGCGAAGAGAACGTACAGCCAGATTGTAACTCAGTCCTGCTCGTGGCTATAATGCTGCCCTGCTCGTGGCTATAATGCTGCTCTGCTCGTGGCTATATTGCTGCCGTTTCTCAGCGCAGCAATGCTGGCAGCACCTCCCGATGATGCTGTTGCTAGAGGCTCGCCTGTAACTAATGATGCTGCAGCTCCAACACGTCGTCCATCTCTTGCAACATCGCTCATCTCTTGTAACATCGCTCATCTCTTGCAACATCGCTCATGCCACGCAACATTGATCACATTCACACGACTCACTCATGTTGTTCACGTTAGACCTGAGCTCTTGAATTGTTGTGTATCTCATGGTGGGGCTCCGGTCTCGTGGCGGGGCTCCGGTCTCGTGGCGGGGCTCCGGTCTCGTGGTGGGGCTCCGGTCTCGTGGCGGGGCTCCGATCTTGCGGTGGGGCTCCGGTCTCGTGACGGAGCTCCGGTCTCGTGGCGGGCTCCGGTCTCGTGGCGGGCTCCGGTCTCGTGGCTCCGGTTCTTTTTCCTATGTCAGCACTGCAAATTGTGTGTGCTCAGGGTCTGGGGCTGCAAATGGCTCTTGTTATAAATTATCAGCGTGTGTACAATGGTTTGGTATTGTTCGTTGTGTTCAGCATTTGCACATTCACCTTCTGTTGTTTGTTGTGTTCAACATGAGTTCATTCACCTGCTATTTACTGTATTCGTACATAGCAGATGAAGGAACAGCCAGAATTTGCGTTGATTAACTGCCATGTGTTAACTCGGTGTTTTTGGCATTGATAGCCTTATAAGCTTAGGTAAATAAATATTTTATAAACATTTTTGTATAAATTACAATGTATTTTTTAAACGATTAAATTTCGTAGTTTGGGAATATTTCTGTGAAAGGTTGATCATTCTAATGGCAACAGCGATTTGTCTTCCAGCGATTCTAATATATAGCCAAATGAATAACTAATGCTATATGATCATGCAGGAATAGTACATGTATAGCAGCCCAATGGATAACTAATGCAGCAGTAGTATATATATGCCATCGCACATGTGGACACTTGAAGCGCCTTCTTATCTTTCTCTCGTTGTAAATTCACAACTCGTTCATAAAGTTGTGAATTTAGTTCATTTCTTCCATTCCTAATAAGGCTTAGTTTGGTCCAGAGAAGGGCCCTGTGAATTTTTCACCAGACAGTCATTTTTCTTTGCAAAGAAGTTTTTTAATAAGTTGTATACAAAACAGAGACACTTTCATTTATACAGAGGGCTGTAATATACGTTAATGGAGTTCAAAGACTGGCTCTCATTTGTAGTTAGCCCGGCGCTCGGTATTACTTTCACTGCCGCAGCAGCTGCAGTCTATTTAAATACCCATTTAAACCTCACGTCTGGAAGCTGAAAGACCCACTGCTGGCCGCCTATAACACTGCCATAATTTTCAACAAGGTATCTCAACATAAAGTGCTCGGGCGGCTGCGCTTGACTTTGATTTGCTCATGGAATGGCTTAGGTTGTTTCTGACGCAAGCTGTGGGAGAGAGAGCGACTGCATTGGTCCAGTTTTAGTTTGCGTGGCTATGTTTGCTGCAAGTAATTTCCGTCTCAAAGAGAATTGAGGACTAGCACTTTGCTCTTTGATGCTGCCGCTAAGCTTGCTCCGCCAGCGCTAATTAATCTCGCAGCTTTCATCTTTTTCCGACCTCCGCAACATGAAGCTTGCTGGATACGTGCTAAGCCGTGGCTTGCCGTGCATTGCCGTGCATTGTCGTGCATTGCCGTGCATTGCCGTGCATTGCCGTGCATTGCCGTGCATTGTCGTGCATTGCCGTGCATTATGCACGAACAGTGCCGTGCACTGGTGCCGTGTCGTGACTCGTGCTTTGTCGTGATTCATGCCTTGCTGTGACTCGTACATCGTGCCTTGCCGTGACTGGTGCCTTGCCGTGCTCGTGATTTGCCATGCTCGTACCTTGCCATGCTCGTACCTTGCCATGCTCGTGCCTTGCCATGCTCGTACCTTGCCATGCTCGTACCTTGCCATGCTCGTACCTTGCCATGCTCGTACCTTGCCATGCTCGTACCTTGCCATGCTCGTACCTTGCCGTGCTCGTACCTTGCCATGCTCGTACCTTGCCATGCTCGTGCCTTACCATGCTGGTACCTTACCATGCTTGTGATTTGCCGTAACTTTTTCTTTGCTATTACTGTTCCCACGATCTGCACCATTCATAAGGCGTATATAGTCAGTGTTCTTCAGGCCTGCCTGTTCTCCTCAACATGTTGTTGTTCCCTGATACCAACTGCTCACTACAGACCGTTTGCTGTTACCTCACAATTTTTACTCATTGCTTTGGTTCATTACGGTTTTTAAGTTTTTTTTTTTTTTTGTATTGACTGAACCCTAGCATTATCTGTTCCCTCACAAACGTAGACCTGTTTCCTCGCATTATCTGTATCTACGGAACAACAAGAAGTAATTCTTCCTGATTTCTCATAGTTCTTTCTCGATGAACGTAATTTATTTTCTGTGTATCGTACGGTGTCGTCTGCAGTTGTCGCAAGGTGCTAGTGCGTGATGCCCACTCACGCGCCCTAAGAATTGAAACGAACGCTCCTCATAACCAGAAACAATATCTTTTCGTATTGTAAAATAAATTAAAAGATATCAATTATTAACAAAAGTTCATGTCTGACACGTCTCCTTGCTATGACTGTGCAGAACACAGACGTCGACCCGACCAGACGATCCCCCCGGACGGCACGACGTTCAAGCGCATGGAGCTCGGCCAGAAGTTGCGTCAGAACATCGCCCCCTACGGCTACTGGAACATGCAGTTCTACCAGACCGAGTCTGCCTACATCAGGTTCGACGTGGGCATCCCCAGGGGCGCCTCTGTGGGCATCTACGGCAGGAGGAACGCCCTGCCCACCCACACCTCCTACGACTTCCTGCAGGTCTTCTCAGGATACCGCGTGGCGTCGGGGCCTCCTGCTCGGCCGTCCAGGTCTTCTTCGGTGAGTTGGGGAATTAGGTTTATTTTGTAATTTATTATACAAGATTATTTAGAATTAAATATTTATTACTTGTCACTGTACGGTCGAAGGGAACATTTACATCTAAAAACCATGCGAATTTCTTCGAAAATGTGCTTATAGACAAATCTCATTCGGTCGATCTTCGTCATCTTAATTAAAATGAAATTCGTACAACGAAAGATAGAAAATAAATAAGCTTCGTGAATGGGGGGAAACTGTCGCCGCTCATACAGCAAATTCATTGCAATGATGAAAAATTTAATTCACAGGATGAAATTACCTACAGAACCTGGAAATCGAACAAAAACAAGGACAAAGCATATCACCCCAAACCGGTTTTAGAGTGAGCAATGTATGTACTGTGAAAGAACGAATCTTCTCATTATAAGACATCTCTACTCTTTTTTATCCATCTTCATTCTTCTCAATCCATCTGATTCCTTATCCAGTTCTTAGGTAAGCCATTAGAGAGGCTTGGCGTACATCTGATCGACGGTTTGGCTAAGCCATCAGTTACCGTCAGTTGTCATCAGTTACGCCATCAGTTTTAGTTTGTTTGGATGTCTGGATGTTCCCCATGACCCCGCAGCAGCTACACGATCCCTTAGCACTATTGACTCGGCCTAGGAATGGTAGAGCGCTATTATTATTACCTCAACTTCCAAACGAAATAAAATTTTATTTTTTAATCAATTGCTTTGTAATGTAAATTAAAAATTATTATGAATGAAAAAACGCATTCATCATCTATAAGAAAAATCAGTCACTGGTTATAACCTATAGATTCGAAAATCAACTAATGATGATAAGCTTAACTAATGAAGATGAAAAGGTATCCCAGTAACATTCCACGTCACGCATGGTATCCCAAACTGAACCGCAGTGACCCAAGCTGCGCGATTTTATGTGCCCCTGGACCGACATTCCAATTCCGTGGTGCGGCGGCCTCCCTGATATTCCTAATTCATTTTTATTAATTCATGCATTTATCCCTTACTTATTTTATCTAATTTTGATAAATTAATCGAATAATTTTGAAGACCCTGATTGCAAATATATATCGTCATCACAGTTATATGCTCGGTGCATGAGTATCCTACTATTAAAGTTGGAGCAATAAAGAAAAACAAAAAATGAACCTTTTTAAATGCAACCTCATAAATATCAAGAAATTCTATGAACAAAAAGCCATCTCCGTACCTCCTTGTTCCCTCATGTAAACGCCGCTGAGGTACGCGAGTGCGTCACGTTTTACGCGGCGCACAAGACGCCATAACTCGCGCCTGATAGATGCTGCTGCCACGGACGTGTTTTAGTCGCACTTTCAGACAATGGAGTTGCATTTACCGCTGTTTTACCGTATATTTACAGCCCTGCTGCCTCACGCGCGCCCCTTATTTGCAGTGTTTTACGCAAATGCTCCGGAAATTTTATGACTCGTTCATATGTGTCGAGCTTTAATTAGAGATACGGTCGACGACATTTGAATGCCTTATAAACGAAGCTAATGTAGACAACAGCAGCTGTATTTTACTCTCAATCTCTTCATGAGTTCATTCGTAAAAATATATGCTAATTGCGAAAAAGTTAGCCAAGCATCAGAGAAAAATGAAAGCATAAGTGAAGGCGGCCGGTAGAAGGGGGACGAGTCGGAATGAAGTGACGTGTAGTTGGTGTATCTTCAGGAGGCGCAAGTGAAGTGTACGCTATTAAGCACGTACTGTCGCACGTGATATTAATCGGTCTTAGTAGTTAATCGAAGGCTTGATGCACTCATCAGCACCCAAATATATCGTGCATGTTACGCGCATGAAACACCGGCAGGGCATCTCTGACTGGATCTCAACATACGTATGAATAGAAAAGTACTCGAAAATAGGTCTTTGCGATCCTGAGTCCCGAACCAAGTACCAACATGGTTATTACAGGCAAAGGTCGCTATAAACTAATTGTTGCCAGTATGACAAGCAGCTTCTTATTCTCCTACAGTCTTTCATCAGCCATAGTTTTTCCTTTACTATAAAATAAAGCCCTTGATATAAGCAAGTCAACACCATAAAATTGCAAGCCGGTCTAAGAAACACGGTCACCACTCAGACGCTGTGCGCTCATCATCGGCTTTCTCTTCCACAAGCCGCAAGCGTCGCGGTCCTATTTCTAGACTGGAACATGCGTTCATATATATACTGTATATTACAACTCGATTCCATACTTTATTGCTTTTATTTTGTAAATGCCGTCAACGACATACACTAATGTTTTCATTCCTCACATGGTATGTATCAACGTTCACAGGAGTAGGAAAGTGTTGTTATTGCCAGTCATACCTCATATCAATAATAAAGAGATGCTCTATCAAATATTATTATTATTAAAATAATTGTTTTCTTGGTGATCCTTAGGCCCCGACGCAGCAGCAGACACTGACGCGGTACCTGGAGCAGGGCCACTGGTTCCTGAGTCTGTACAACGACGACGGCGACCTGCAGGAGATCAGCTTACTGGGCGTCGTCAGCTCCGAGGACACCGAGGGGTGTCCTAAGGGGTGCAATGGCAAGGGTGACTGTATCCTGGGATCCTGTCAGTGTAATCCCGGCTACACTGGACCAGATTGTACACAAAGTAAGTACACTGAGGGATATCCCAAGGGGTGCAATGGTAGGGGTGACTGTATCCTGGGATCCTGTCAGTGTAATCCCGGCTACACTGGACCAGATTGTACACAAAGTAAGTACACTGAGGGATATCCCAAGGGGTGCAATGGTAGGGGTGACTGTATCCTGGGATCCTGTCAGTGTAATCCCGGCTACACTGGACCAGATTGTACACAAAGTAAGTACACTGAGGGATATCCCAAGGGGTGCAATGGTAGGGGTGACTGTATCCTGGGATCCTGTCAGTGTAATCCCGGCTACACTGGACCAGATTGTACACAAAGTAAGTACACTGAGGGATATCCCAAGGGGTGCAATGGTAGGGGTGACTGTNCATCTACTATAAGCATGAAACATATGCACGCAACATGAAACATCTGCTCGCAACGAGAAATATCTGCTCGCAACAGGAAACATCTGCTCGCAACAGGAAACATCTGCTCCTAACAGGAGAGGCTGAATCATCTGTAAAGCAGGCCTCGCTCGCTCGGATGTCGGAATTTGCGGCAAAAAATGCGAGTATTTCGCAGCCTGGAGCTCTGGGGTCATTCGAGGCCAGGAAAGCGTCACATTTTTGGGTCCTTTAGCGGCCAAAACTCGCTGTTGCATCGCCCCACCTCATTATTAATTCCAGGGTCGGCATTCAGCCTAAAACTGCGCAACTGCTGCTCGCCTACTGCTCTATTGCTGCATAAATACTGCCCTGCTGCTGCCATACTACTGCTCTACTACTGCACGAATACCGCCTACTTGCTCCACTAATACTGCTTAACTGTGGGTGGCCCTAATACTGCTTCATTGCTGCCCTAATACAGCTCTACTGCTGCCCTAATACTGCCTAACTACTGCGCTAATATTGCTTTACTGCTGCCCCAATTCAGCTCCACTGCTGCACTATTACTGCCTAACTTCCGCTCTAATTCAGCTCAACTGCTGCCCTAATATTGCATAACTGCTGCCAAATACTGCTCTACTACTGCTATAATATGCCTAAATGCTACCCTAAAACTGTCTAACTGCTGCCCTAATACCAACCTGTAACTGCTGCCCAAATACTGCTCTAATGATGCAACTAATACTACTGCACTTCTGCTATAACACTTGCTATAACGGGTGCCCTATCACTGCCGCCTGGTACTCTCTACCATTGCGTTAGAACTGCTCATCTACTGCTCTACTGCTCTACCGCTCGTCCACTGTTTTCCTCATCCTTCTATCCCAATATCGTTCAACTGCCTTCCTGCTGCCATATTGCTTCACTACTGTTACTTATAGTTACTGTCTTACTACCACTTTACTGCCGCGCCATTGCTGCCCTGTTGCTGCCATTCTACTGCCCTACAGCTGCTCTACATTTCAAGCCCGTCATTGCACACTACGCAGCTGCCCACTGCTCGCAGCACACTCTCATCGGTAGTCTGCCGTGGAGCTGTAAACATGATCGTTTAGTTGCAGCATCTCCACAGAGAGATAGATGTCTAGATGCCTAGACTTGTTCGTTTCAGCAAAACTGAGAACAAATTTATGAGAAGCAATGCGAAGGACTACAGTGTGATATGTAGTCTCGTTGCTATACTAGAACGTAACAAATTTATTTTCTAATTTTTCCTGCCTAAACATTAGAGCAGCATTGCCGATTTTCAGTTTGCCAATCTAAAGTGTGTGAATCTTTAGTATGCCAATCTAAAGTGTGTAAATCTTTAGTATATTTATCAACAGGACTTAAACAACTTTCTCTGTTGCCACGCTGGTACAACCCACAGCACTGCTGCCTCTTTTTTTCTACTTACGACTGCTCCGAAGTTCCTAGTGGCTTCCGAACTCAGGCTGCGTAACTTCGTCACCTTGTACGTATGAGAACCCAGTTCAGTTCAGGCTGTACCACACAAAGTTTCCCTGAAGTCTTGTTCCGTGCTGAAGCAGTTCAGTTCAGGCCGTAACACACCAAGTTTCCCTGATGTCGTGTTCCGTGCTGAAGCAGTTCAGTTCAGGCTGTAACACACCAAGTTTCCCTGAAGTCGTGTTCCGTGCTGAAGCAGTTCAGTTCAGGCTGTAACACACCAAGTTTCCGTGAAGTCGTGTTCCGTGCTGAAGCAGTTCAATTCAGGCTGTAACACACCAAGTTTCCGTGAAGTCGTGTTCCGTGCTGAAGCAGTTCAGTTCAGGCTGTAACACACCAAGTTTCCCTGAAGCCGTGTTCCGTGCTGAAACAGCCCCCCTCCTGAGGGGGCGGTGATAGTGCCAATCAATAAGGACTGTTTTTATCAGCGACTCGGGGACTGTCAGCGGTAATTGGCGCACCGCCCGTGGACTTTTGCTTGTCGCCACCGCGCCGATTGAGTCATTAACTACGAATTTGCGACGTGAGTTGAATTCGCGATATGCCAGTTCCGTGCTCATGATTCTACACATTCTTTTTGTAATAGTGAACCATATTAGGCTCATGAGTTTTCAACACGAGTTGACTTTGCGATCTGTCATGGCAAAAAGTCAACGCGTGTTGACTTTGCGATCTGTCATGGCAAATTATGATTAGCAACTTGCTTTGGAGTGACTTTAATTTCAACAAACAAAGTAAGTTTCTTTGTGCAATCTGTCAATTATGGGCGTTCAATCTGTCAATTTTGGGCGATTTTCCTCCAAATACCCAAGAAAATTAGATCATTATTTCTCAAACGTCATCATGGGGATTTTTGTTGTCATCTTCGCCAATTGATGTGCACTTACGCGGGAAAATTAAACTCTTTAAGAGCTATACGCATTGTTCTAGGATTAATTTTAGAGCGATAGGTTCTAAAACAGTCCACGATCCAAAAGCTCTCATTATTTCCGTTCTTTTAAATTTTTTAAATTTTCACTCGATCTCCCCCCTTCGTAAATGTGTCATCGTTATGCGATGAGTAACGTTTGTTTATTATTTTTTACTGTATCTTTTAATTACTTGCTAAATTTTTTGGAATTAAAATTTGTTAATAGTGCCAAAAAAATTGTTCTTTTCAAATGCTGGTTCCAGGCTCCATTTTTTATTTAGTCATCATTTTTCTACCACAATTTTCATTTTTTTCACTAACAAAAGTTTAAACTCAAAAAATTAAAATTTTCTTCGCTCCCTTTCTTTTTTATTAGCTTTTTTCTCTCAATATATTACGTATCCGGCTCGATACAGCGCGCTTTAACCGCGGCTGCGGGGGTTTCAGGACTCCGTACAATAAAGTATTGTAGTGATATCCTTCATGTATGTTCGCTTTGAAACTTTTTCCTGGCAAACTTTAGCCAGGAAAAAATCCTGACAAATTTTTGCCAGGGAAAAATTTCCTGGCTAAGTTTTTTTCAAGCGCTGCCTTCAAAGCCCACAATTATTGGCCATGAAAAGTAAAAATATGTAAATGTAAGTGCTATCAATTTTCACACGAGCTCCCTAATGTCCACATGTCCACTGTACAGCATTGACGGCGATTTGGCGCAGGTTAGCGATATTTAACCAATAAGTTCGTTTTGATGCAGTGGCCGCACGAGCTACCGCTTCATTCCTAGTTTTAATAATGGTTATTTTAACACGTCGACTACGATTGCTTCATCTTGTACTACTATTTCACTTTTAGTACCGTTTTTAAACAGGTAGCCAGACGGTCATTTTTTCCGGACAAATTCCGTGATTTAGTTTTTCTCAATTGCGTTGGCCGGCTAAAATTTATGATAGGGGTTTTTTCTAATTAAATGTTAAATACTGCAAAAAGAAAATAAATGAAATTTTTATAGCAGAAGCTACAAATAAACTAGTATATATTGAGTTATCGGCCCTTTTTGGCCTTTTTAGTTCTCGGATTTGGCCGATTTTAGGCAACCTTAATTATGTATCACTACGTCCTGGAGAAATACATTTCCTGGTACGCATATGTACCACTTCGTTAGCCAACGTGTTTTAAAAAATTCCGTTTTCCAACTTACCCGAGTCGATGAATGAATGTTAAACTGTACGTCTGTACCCCACAAATAGTATCTGCCTCAGCATCACTCCTAATCCTCGAGATGCTTACTCTTACCTGTGCGTTGCTGATCTCTCCTAGGCCTGTTGGTGACCGATGTTCACCTTTACGTAGGCCAGCCTTTGAATTAAACTCTATTTTGCTCCGGCAACAGTTCACTCCTTTGGTACCCTCGCAGTCGTTATGGTTACCAAATGAGCGACGAGCTGTCACAATCACCTCTTGAATGAAATGAAAAGGATAGGAAGTTTATATACAACTTATGTTCAACAACTGTATACCGATAAGGACTCTGCGCGACAGTTTAATTAAATTGTTCAATTTCTACTCAAATTGCGTTCAGCAGCGGCCAAAAATCGCGCATTCATCTGCAGCGCCATGAACTTCGATCACTTCTAGCGGTTTAAATCACCTCTGGTCCATTATGGCAAGTACTTTGGATCCGTATGCCGTAGCTAGATACACGATACATTCTCGTGCTCAGAACGTGAAACTTGTGTTAGTTCCAGCAATGCTTATGAACCGTCGTGCGGCTTACGGTAATTCCTAAGACATTAACTTGCGGCTTACGGCATTATTTACTTACTACAAATTCCTATTATTTGCATGTCTAGGTACGGGTTATTTCATGCTCTTCTTACGTGCATTTGACGCGTACCTTTTGTCTTTGCTACGCTTAACTCGCACTCACCTCCATCGTTTGGTACGTTCAGCTCGTTCTTACTAGTACTCAAAGCGGCAGTGTTCATATCTCTATTATAATTATCACTTATATCGTATTATTTGATCATATAAGATATGCTGGAGAAGTTATGAAGGTGTACAAATTGATCCATAAAAGAGTATTGCTAGTAAGAATTATTGTTTGCTTGATTAGTTCTAAAGCCCAAGTTTGCTGCAATTTCTTCTCAATTTTCCATTGATATCCTTCAACTGATCAATATACGTCCATCATCATGTGACTACATCCCCAATTGATTTAGTTAATCATCCTCTGCGTATCCTTACATCTCAAGTTGATCCCTACATCCCCAATTGGTCCCTACGTCCTATGTTCGTCCCTACTTCACAAATTTATCCCTACATCCCAAGTTCATCCGTACACTCCACGTTCGTCCGTACATCCCAAGTCCGTCCCTACATGCAAAGTTCGTTCGTACATCCCAAGTTCGTCCGTACACTCCACGTTCGACTCACACGCGCCTCACACGCGCCTCACACGTGCCTCACACGCGCCTCACACGTGCCTCACACGCGCCTCACACGCGCCTCACACGCGCCTCACACACCCGCCTCA